AATTTGTCTCGATTTTCACAGGGTCTCGCAGAGATCTTTTCCTTGCAAAAATTACAAAAATATGTAAATTAATTTTATTTTAAATTTAATTTAATTTTCAAACTTAAATCCAATCTAATAAAAATTAAATTTAATCTAATTTTATTCAACCTAACCTATAAATGTTAACCCAACCCATCATCAACAAGTTTGTTGATTTAGTTATTTATGTTGAATTAATCTTTATTTATTTGCATAATTTATATTTGATTTTATATTTAGAGAATTTTAATTAATTGTATTTGAAATTTTTAAAATTTTATTTATTATAATTGAATATTAATTAATTATATATAAAAAATTTTATATTTTAATATTAATTAGTAAGAAACGAGAATCCTCACAAAAAAAAGGAGAATGAAAAACAAAATCTACTCACATAAAAAATCCTTGCAGGCATTCTTGTCCCCGCGAATGGATGGGGAGCTACTTTCCCGACCTGCAGGACCCCATTAACATCACTATTTGTAACCTTACTTTTGCCTGTATGGTTGTTGGGCTGACAATATCTAGCAATTAGATTGACTCTTTCGTTTTAATTGTCTAAATTAGTTATTGAGTAGAAATTTTTTTATTTGTTAGAGCTATAGGTAATACTTATTTTCTACTGTTTAGTATATATATATATATTTTGGAAATAGGATCAATTACAACTATATTTTAAATTCTCTCTATTGGGAGAAGTGGATGGGCTGGGGCTCGAACAGATCACCCCAGCTCTTGTGAACATCCACAAAGGCTGATGGTGACCCCCGCCTGCTCCAATGGTGGATTTCCCACTGATTAGGAAAGGCTAAAATCAGATTTTGTTCCTTTTATTTTAATAAAAAGGTTTTTTTTTTAAATTTCTATATATAATAAAACATCTTTTTAGTCCTTAAAATTTTTTATCTAACTTCTTTTTAGTTTATCTGTTATTTTTATATACATGTGACATGTTAAATAATAAAAATTTTAAAATAAAGGATTAAAAAAAGAGCTTTTATTTTTTTATTAAAATATAAATTTAGTCCCTTAACTTTTAATTTTATATCAAAATTATCCTTGAAGTTTAATTTTGGCACCAAAATAGTCTTTCTACTAATAGAAATGTTATATAACCTATTATTTTATCACAAAATCAATTCTTTTTTGAAATAATAATGAAGTGTAAAATCAAACAATTATATTTTACTATTATGACATATTTCCATTTACATATCGGACTAATACATAATCAAAGTTGAAAAACTAAATTAATATTTGTAATCAATGTTCAAGAACTAAGTTGGTAATTGATTTTAAAGTTTAAGGACTAAATTAGTACTGTCTTCAAAGTTTGAGGACAATTTTATATAAAAATTAAATTTAGGGACAATTTTAGTATTTTTTTTAAGTTAAAGGATAATTTTGACACAAAGTTGAAGTTAAGAGATCAAATTGATGTTTTAACCTTTGGTTTTTAATAGGACAAAAGAAGGACTTTTTTTAGTACAAAGGGCGCGAATCAGAAAAGTGGTGATTGCTCATACTTCCTTTCCTCTCATTGTTGGAAATGGTTACCTAAGGGAAAGAACAACACTCATCACCTCTAGGATCCACTTGTGACACACTACTCGATTTCGTAATATTATGCATCTTTCCATCATCATGTTCTATTCAATTTCCCAATATTAGCTGTTTGAAACTTTGAATCATCAATTAATACCAGACTGTCAATCTCAATTATTTTTTTCCATAAATTAACGTTGAAATGAAGCTTTCATTTGTAAACCATTTCTGGGATTGTGCAGTTTCACTATGACCAGGTTGTGGGAATGGCTCTTCTATTAATGCCGATGAACATCCAAAGATTTATAGAATGAAGCTGTGGGCCACAAATGAGGTTTGGACCAAGTTCAAGTTTTGGTACGTGAATTTAAATGTGCTTTTCATATTTGATTTTAGAGTTTTGTTGTTACTTAGTTTTGTGGTACTATGCAAAATTAGAAAGTGAGATCAGAGGCAGAGGTAGAGAGAGAGAGAGAAAGGCTAGGAAGACAAGAAGACTAACAGCACGGAGCTGGGATCATTCCAATCAGCAAGGTCAGACCAAGGTTTTCCAACCAGACTAGAGAATTGACAGAGCCATGTACAATTAGTCAATCACATTCTTCTTCACCAACTTTCCGAACAATTGGAACCAAGAACAAATTTGGTGAGCTTTTAGAAGCTATGGCAGGGTTGTAGAGATCTATTTCCAAACAAGAAAGATAAATCTGGCAGACATTTTGGGTTTGTCAAGTTTCAAGACATGGAAAATGCTAGAATGCTAGAGAGGGAGCTAGACCAGATCAATGTCAGAGGAGTTAAAATCCACATGAATCTATCGAGGTTCGAAAGACAACCAAAGATGCAGAAGGGAGAAGACCAGAATAGCGCAGATAAGGAAGGTGACCAGAAGAATGTAGATAAGGAAGGCATAATGGAAGCAAACAGACAAGCAAGATGGTTTTATGCAGATGTTCTCAAAGGATTAAAGACAAGTGAACTTGTGATCAACAAGGTTGTGGTTGTAGAGCAAACAAAGAACCATACAGAAAATGTCAGGACAAACATTCCTAGAACGAAAGATAGAAGGGAATAGAGAGCAAAAAACAAAACTCCAGAATGGAAAGGATGGGAATTCAATGTTGAGGAAGCAGAATTTGAATGGGTGAAAGGCAGTTATGTAGGAACAGCCAGGGCAATAGAATTAATCCTAACAATACAAGAGAAATTCTACATTGAGGGGTATTTTTCTGTGGCTTTAAAACCAATGGATGGGAAGTTAGTTCTGATGCAATGTGAAGATAGAGAAGTGATGAGCCTAAATTTCATACAATTATACATGGCATTTTAGTCATTAATTGTAGTCTTTTATATTTTATTGGAACGATTTTATTTGGTTTTACATTACTTTTATCATTCTTTGTAGGTAGAGGGTAAAACTAAAGAAATTGAGAGTAAATGGGCTGAAGTGGCAAAAGTTGAAAACATCAAGTCTGATTCCATGATTTCCCCATTCAAAGACCAGAATTGAATTTTCTTCTTGCATACACGTGACACAACATTGTGGGCTTTATCTCATTGTGGAGATAAGATGGGCTTTAAAAAAGAAGGGCTTTAAAAAAGAAGGGCACGCAGTTTTCGTAAGGGGTTTGATATAAAAAAGGGATTTTTGGAGGTGGATGAGGAAAGGCTTCCTAGAGGGGATTTTAGAGGCAGCCGGCAGAGAGCTTGGAAGGCGAGTTTGAGGCAGAGCTTGCGCGGATTCTGTGCGAGTGACGGCAGAAGCAAAGGCAGCCATTAGGGACACTTCAATCGAAAACAAAGGGGACAAGCGCAACAGTGAAGGCTACAGATCTGAGTTCCACAAATTGGGTTTAGCCTTAGATGGCAAAATTAATTCATACTAAACATGATAAAATCTGAGATTAAATTGATGAACCACAATTCCATATCCAAACAAAGGAAAAAATAAGTTTAGAAGAGCAAAAACCCAATTTGTGGGAAGAACTAGAATACTTAGTGAAAAATGCAGAAGATTAGCTAGCCCAGTGGTTTGATGAAGTAAAGCCATGGTCTCTGTCAATTGTTGCAACAGAGAGGTTTACTTGGATGAAATCCCATGGGGTCCCTCTACATGCATAGGGGCCCAAGTTCTTCCAAGATCTCAGTATGTTATGGGGAAAATTCATCTCTTTAGATGATAGTACAAGCAACAAAAAAAGATTTGATGTAGCCAGAGTATTGATTTCCACATCTTGCATGGAGGTGATATCAAAGAAGTTAACCGTGAAAATTAATGGAGAATTCTACAACATCAATTGTGTGGAGGAAAAGCACTCAAATAATTTATTCTCCATGAAGTCTGATCATGTGTTTAATAGTGGATTTAGTAATGATCATGATAGTGATTCATGGTCACTTTGATCATTGGAAGCAACAGGGTCTGTTCAAGGAAAGGTTGAAAGATTTTCAAATCTTTCTAAAATTGGAGATGAAGAAGACGATGATGTGGCAAATGGGCATGAGAACGAGGAAGAAGGGATGAAGGGGGAAACAACTACATGAGATATGGCCAAATCAAACAATTAATGTGGGACTAGCAAATTGCAGTCCCAAGAAGAAAAATTCAAATATTGCCCAGAAAATGATGAGGGATGTGTCAGAAGGCTATGGGAGAATAGAGGTGGCGGTTACTAACTCTGAAAAGAGTGAGGATATAAGTGGGAGAACCGAAGATGGAGCAACAGTAGAGTTCAGCAGGGTCAAAGAAACAGTTGTTGAAAGAATGGGCCACAAGCCCAAATTGAAACAAAGCAACAGCAAAGTATTGATTCAAGAAGAGATTGGGCTGGATATAAATGGGATGGAAAAAGAGTCCTAAGCATTTGTAGAACAAGTCCAAAATGCAATGCAAGCCATAACGCAAACTTACGGACTAGAGAAGCAGTGCAATAAAAGGAAAAGAAGTGGGCCAAATAAAATGAAGCACAAAAAAAAAAAAAAAGGGCTGTAGCATAAATGAGATGGACAGTCGTCAAGCATCTTCCCAAGGGAAGAACAACGACTCAGGGATGGCATAAGAAGGGACGAGGAGGTAAGAAAAAACAAAAGCTCATAAAAGGAACAAGAGGACCAAGCCATGTGTGGCAGTGTACAAGGCGGCTAAGCTAATGCAGTTAGAAGCAAGGAAGAGAAGAAAAGGGAAATCAAGGATAGATTTGGCATAGGATCTACCTTTGCCAGATTCATCCCCAATTTGAATCATGCAGTTACCGATGAGTCTTTAAATGATAGCAACATCAACTGCAACAAGACCTTTCTAAAGAGTAAGAGGAATTTTGGGGCAAGAGAAATTTGGGAATTTGCTAAATCAATTCGAGTTGAAGCACATGGGAATGAAAAAGATATCTGACATAAATTGGAACAATTAGAAGAGAGGGACAGGAAATCAAAGAAGCCCAGTAGACAGAAGCAAAACCTTGGAGGGGAAGGTATGTTACCATGATCCTAGTGTCATAACGTAAGAGGGATATGGTGTGGATGGAAAAGGAGGCAATGTGGGATTGTGATAGCTACAAGACCCCTGGTTCAGACAGGTTTAACTTTGGGTTCATAAAAACAATGTGGGAGATAGTGAAGGATTGTTGAGGATTTTCAGAAGAATGGAAGGTTAGTGAAAGGTTCAAATGCTTCATTCACTGTTTTAATACCAAAAAAGAGAAGCCAGTAAAAATTGAGGACCATAGGCCCATCTCCTTAATTGGTTGTATGTACAAAATTATTGCAAAGTTATTAGCAAATAAAATGTAGTGATGGAGGGCTTGATAAGTGAACATCAATCGACATTCATACATGGGAGGCAGCTAATGGATAGTGTAGTAGTGGTAAACGAAACCAATGATGAGATTAAAAGGAAAAAGGAAAAGAGCTTCATCTTCAAAATTGACTTTGAGAAGGCTTATGAAAAGGTCTCTTGGGACTTTTTAGAATACATGATGAGGCATGATGTTTGGAGAAAATGGATTATGGAGTGTTTACGATCAAGCATAATGTCAGTTTTATTAAATGGTAGTGCAACAAACGAATTCAGAGTGAGCAAGGGCTTGCGATAAGGTGACCCGCTTTCACCCTTCTTGTTCCTCATCATTGCGGAGGGCCTTTTGGGGCTAATAGCCGCAGCTGAAACAAAAGAATTGTTCAAATGAGTTACGGTGGGTTTGAAGGGATTAAAATTATCTCATCTCCAATTTGCGGATGACATTATCTTGTTTGGAGAGGCTATGGAAGGAAACCTCAAGGCAGTTAAAAGCATTTTGAGGATCTTTGAAATGGCTTCTAAACTCAAGATCAACTACAACAAAAGCAAGTTGTATGGAATGAACATGGGAGATGAAGATTTACAATGGTGGGCTGCCTTCCTAAATTGTAAAAAAGACAAACTACCTATAACTTATTTGGAAATGCCAATTGGAGCCGAATTGAGGTGCAAAGATACATGGGCTGAACTAGTAAACAAAAGTGGGAGGAAGTTGTCTAGTTGGAAAAACAAGTTCTTATCCTTAGGGGGGTGTATTGTCTTCATTAATTCCGTGCTAACCAATCTTCTTGTCTTCCTTGTGTTTAGTTATCTCCTACCTGCTGGAGTGATAAAGAAAATTGATGCTATTAGGAGAACATTTTTATGGGGAGGGTGTGAAGAGAGAAATAAGATTGCATGGGTTAGGTGGGAAAAAGTTTGTGGGGATAGAAGATTGGGGGGGATGGGAATTAAGAACCTCAGGGTGTTTAATATTACATTGCTAGGGAAATTATGGGGGAGACTTGCAAATGAGAAATTAGGATTATGGAGTAGGGTGCTTAAAGAAAAATACAAAAAGGATGGAGTAAGCTAGGCGGAATGGATGAGAGGGGGGTAGGAAAGGGGATCTAGGTGGTGGAAGGATATTTGCAAAATAAATGAGATGATTGAGGCGAAACAAGATTGGATTAAATCTAGGCTTGAGAGGGCAATAGGTGAGGGCACAAAAGTCTCTTTCTAAAAGGATAGGTGGACAAGACCTTGTAGTTTAGATGAATTGTTCCTCATTTATTTTCTCTTTCCACAGATCCTCAAAGCATTGTGCAACAAATGGGGGAGTGGGATGATCAAGCATGGAGATGGAGGCTAAAATGGAGAAGAAGACTAATGGCATGAGAGCAAGACCAGGAAGCACAACTCTAGAACATAATCAACAATGTGCAACTTGGAAGAGATGCTGAGGAAAAATGGCAATGGAGACACGGAAAAGAAGGCAGATACACAATACAATCAACATACAAGTTATTAATAACAACAATAGATGGAGACAAGGACAAAAATCTCAAAAGCTGCTGGAACCCGATAATCCTTATGAAGATTTGTGCTTTTAATTGGCTATTAATGATGGGACGTATGCCATGCAAGGAAAATTTACTAAGAAGAAATGTTATTAAGCAACAATCGGAGGCCATGTGCAGCTTATGCAGGGCAACAATGGAAAACGAGAATCACCTACTACTATGGTATGAGTTTTCAACAAAAATATGGAACAAAAATTATGCTTGGTGGGGTTTCACGCATGTGATGCCTAAAACTTGTAAGGAGGCTCACCTTCAACACGCTTGGGTAGGTAGAAATAAAAAAGGTTGGCAAGTGGTGTGGTCTACCACAATATGGGCTATATGGTTAGCACGAAACCGAAAGACTTTCCAAGGAAAACAGGTGTCAATTTATGAGGTGTTTGAAATGATACAGTCTAATTCATATTACTGGATTAAGAACAAAATTGATGGCTGGTCATATGCTTACTCAGATTGGTGCGGTAATCGTAGCAGTTGTAGGGGCATAAAGTTTCAACATCAGTGAACATAGAAACTAACATGGAGATGAAGTATGCAGCCAACAAAATGGAAAACATATAGCCAACGACCCTTCCTTTGTCTAGGGTGGTAGAAAAGAAAAGGACGTGAATGCATAAGAATATGAGTTTTGGGTTTAAATGAACATCTTCTCAAAGTGGAGGGACTAAATTGCAAGAAGGAAGGTGTTATCTTATGGACCTAAATGAATAAATCTTGGGTTTTTGGGATCTAAATGCTCATTGTACAAAATCTGAAGGACCAAATGTGTCATTTTACCATTGAAGAAATTACAAAAGAGGAAAGAAACCCTACACGGGTGTGGTGTTGACACATAATTTTGATGTCAACGCCATACAGTAAGCATCTAGAATCAAAGTTTCTGTTTCTTGTTCTGTGTTGACAGAGTGCAGGTTGAAATTTTTAACAACTTTGAAGTGCTCTTGTATCGATAAATGAGGAAGGGCTATTCTGTTTTGTAAATTTATGCTTTTCAAGTTGGGATATTTATGGGTTTATGGGTTTGAGTACCCCTTGTACATTGTTTTTTTAATAAATGTTACTTTTTATTGTTAAAAAAAAAAAAAACTTAGTTTTTTGGTGCTAGAATTTCAGTTTGTTGATTAATTTCCATTAGGTATTTCTTGAGGAAGTTGAAGAAGGTCAAGAAGAGCAATGGCCAAGTTCTTGCCATTAACGAGGTACATTCTCAATTCTCATGCTTTCCATATACAGTGTGCAACTCACTATGAAGTTTTTCCATTTTTTTTATATCAGCATTATGAAGTTATTTAGTGGGTTGTCTTGGTATCTGAAGTAGTAAATAGAAGTCAATCGTCTTCTTTCATATTCACATCTCTTGATTAATTGTTGTCCTTAAATTTGTTATGGAGATTGAAATCATATAGAGAAATGGGACATTTGTTGTTTTGTCACTGCATGTTAATTCTCTAAATGTTTTATGTCTTCAGAGTAAAAATTTGTAGTTCCACTCATTGACAGTTGCATATATTGAAGCATTATTGAAACAATTTTTCTAATCCACCCTATTTTTTATGTCCAAAATAATTTATAACTTCTTGATAGTTGGCTTGATGAAGCTTTAATCAAATGGGACTATATATTGTTTTGGTGGGAAAGTTCTTGTGTGTTTGGAATTCAGAGCTGTTGTTTAGACTTTATATGTGTGTTAACAAGATGCTGATAAGTGACAGTAATATCCAACCTTGAATATTCTTTTGTATTTCAAATAAAGGGCATTCTCCTTCCATGTAGTTGTTTCAATTGCAATTTCGATATTGCCAAATAATAAACCACCTGATTGAAGTTGAATAAATCTTCTTTAAACTAATATATTAAGTTGTGCTGATCACATATGTTGAATTATATTTTTCTCTCTATAAATTTGGTGTGATTACATTTCAGGACTAGTATTGATTGATTTTAATGCATTATTTTCATCCAATTTATTTAACCTTTGAAGAATAGTTCTCTCGTCAAGGCTCTTGCTTTAACTTAACTTTCATATTTTTGAGAAGAACCCAACAAAGATCAAGAACTATGGTATTTGGCTGCGTTATGAAAGTTGTCCTGGTTACCACAACATGTATAAGTTGCATCGTGACACCATTCTAAATGGTGCTATGGAACAGATGTACACTGAGATGGCTTCCCATCATAAGGTCAGATTTCCTTGCATCCAGATTATCAAGACTACCACCATTCTAGCTAAATTGTGCGAGAGGGAGAGCACCAAGCAGTTCCATGACTATAAGATCAAGTTCACCCTGGTGTTCAGGAACGTTAGACCTCCAAGCAGGAAGTTGAAAACAACTTACAAGGCATCACGACCCAACTTGTTTATGTAATTTCTTTATCATTCAATAAATGAGAGAAGAAAGAACAGCTTCTAAATATTACTTAGTTGTTTGCTGATTACTTGTTTACTAGAATCTTAGGATATCAGATGGTTGAACATGGTTTTTGGTTACTGAATCCTATTTTTTATCTTTTACAGGGGGTACGAAATGCAATTGAAATTTCTCTTTCATGATGGAGTAAAGTTCAATATTCTTTTTCTGTTGGTACGTTTTCTCTTGACTTAATCTAATAAACCGTCCAGTAAATTTTGTATATATTTTTTATTTTGTCTATTATCTTTGGGTACTTTTACTTTTATTTCAGTTTAATCTAATTTGTTAATTTTCTAACAGCAATGTCACTCCATTTAGTCAAATTGATTTTAAACTATATTAATTTTGAGATAAAACTAATTTTATAAGGATAATAACTTCTTTTCATTTTCCGAAGGACTATAACCTTTATCATGTATTGCTTCAGCTTTCCCTTTTAATGATCTTTCTTTGTGGTAGAAACCATAAATATTGACATATTTTAATAGCTTACATAGTCTATCATGAATTATTTTACCGGTTAAGATTATTCTATTTTATTTATTTTTTTGTTAAAACTAATACAAATTTTGTACAATAAATTATTTTGAAATATTTTATATAATTTATAAATCATTTAAAAGGAAAATTAATTTTTTAGATTAAAATAAAATTAAACTAATAATTAATAAACTAATTATTAAATTAAGCCTTTTTTCCTTCTTTTTGATAAGTTTTTCTTTTAGTTGATAACATGCAGAAAGGGGGAATGAACGAGGAGTGGCTAATGGTCTTCTACCACGCCTACACTGTTTCTCTGTTGTGTCTTGTGGTGATATTTTGGCTACCATTCTTAAACTTGTTTCACCCAGGAGGGATGGATATTTTACTTCTTCAAACACTACAGCTAGAAGGCTTGTTTAAACATCTGTTTTTTGTTTAAGAATTCAAAAATGTTAAGCCCAACGTTGATGATATGCTTGACTATATATTAATGCGTAAAAGCTAAACATAATATAAAATGTTATCATATTTCTTGTAGTAAAGCCAAAAAAATAAAATAAAATCTTATTTTCATAACAGAATAGAAAATTTCTTTCTTCTTGTGGTTGTGTCCGTACTAAAAAAATGTCATGAAACTTCGCATTGCTATTGTGTGCGTGTGTTTTTTTTTTTTTTTTTTTGTTTAGTTATCAAAAAATTTAAAATGTTAAATTCAAATAAAAAATTAATAAATTAAATTTTCAATTTTAGCTATTAATTAAAATTTTTTTTTTTAGTATACCAAATGATAAGTTATATAATAAGAACTTTCCTTTTCTTAATCTCTTCTCACCTCTCTCAAAATTTAAACTCTAGATCTCCAATTTAAAGTTTTAAACTCTTAATCACTTATACTCCATAATTTATTAATTTCTAATTTAATTTTTAATGTTAACTTTTAAATATATTTTTAATTATGAAAATAGAAAACTAATAATATATTGGAGAGGAATAAGCAACAATTACTTAAGGGGTCTATGTTTTGGTGTTTTGTAAATAACTATCAGTTATTAACTCTAATCAAATAAATTAGATACTTCAAATTATAAACAACAATAATTATCAGTTGTTAAATATTGATTATTAGCTACATTTAAATAGCTAACCCAAATACCCCTTAAGCTTACCTTTTGGGGGTACTTATAACTTAAAAAGTCACAAATTACGATTTCTCTCTTAACAAAATTTTGAATTTTAGACACGAGGAAGAGCTTATAACCAACATTTACTTGTAAACTTTGCCTAATAGCCTCACTATTAATGATATGAACCGTAATATTAGTGAGATAAAATGTATATATTTTTTATGTTGGGTAAGAAGCAACCATATAAAGTGTATATAATACATATATACACAAGATAACTTTAATATATTATACAACTCAAATTTATTGAGAAAACTTGTTATTTATAGAGTTAAACTCACAACCTCAATGATATTTGAAGTTTCTACCTTATGAAGGAAAATTCTAGGTTTTTATTCCATGAAGATATCCGCATTATTATAATGTTCAATTTCTAGGTTAATATGACCTTCTAAATAAGATGCATTATAAGGTGAATCGTAAAACATGTTAGAAATATTGACCTTTAAGTACCTTTTGACTTTTGTCTAAAAAATAAATTTAAAGACCTCCAATACATTAGTTATTAAATCAAATTGCTATCGCTGAGTAATAAGGAATGTGGCCTCTAAAAATAAAACTATGTGACCTTGGTTTGTTTAGAGAAGGTGAGTGTAGGTCTGAGAAATCTAGGAATGATGTTAATTGATTTTTGCCCAATGATGAGTGTGAGGTCCAGTCTAATTATGTAGATGATTTCATTCATTGGATTCTTGAGCAAGATCAAATCGAGAGTCCATAAAGCCTCATGCTTCATGAGCTAAATTGGAGTACGTATTTGATGATCTTTTTGCGGACAACCTGATTTCTTTAGTCCTAAATATTATTATTTAAAGATTAATTTTAGATATAATAATTGATAAAAAAAATTTAAATATACTCTATACCATCACATTTAGTTGTCTACTTTATATATATATAATTTTTATGAGAAAACAAATGAGAGTATTATTAAAAAAACTGAATAGGCGAAACCAGGGAACAACTATCTTAAACTTGAAATCGCCTCCAATCCCACTTGGACTTAGCTTGGGTTATGATTCTATAATTCAATTATAATTAAATAAGAAATTTGAATTATTGCAAACCCCAAATTGTTATTAGGCCATTTAAAAGCCAATGATCTAATTAATTTGTGGTAATATTTTTTTAATGAAAATAAAAAATTTTGAATTCAAATTATATAATATGTGGATGGATAAGTTTTGAGATGGGAGAAGGTTGCCTTCATTGAGCAACCCAAAAAAAAAAAAATGTTACTTAGTATAATTTGTTTTTTTTTTTTAAAAAAAAAAGCCATCTAAAAAGCTAAAAAGCTAAGGCTTGGTTTGGGAGTGGGAGTACTGTTAGGTTATTTGATGAATTTTGATGATGAGTTAAAAATATAATTTATTAATATTTGATGAATTTAATTTTAAGTGTGCAAGCAAATTAATTGAAGTGTTCTAATTTTTCCTCATGATTAAAATCAAAGTTTAGCAAGCTTCTATCTCCTTTGATTAAAGTTCTAGATTCAAACCAATATAATTTGGTTCAAACCAATCCCACTAGAGTTTTTCTAAAAGTGGTTCAAATCAATATTTATGGGTTCAAACCAAAAATTCTAGAAGAGTCAATTTCAACAACTTAGCAAACAAGTTTGATTTAATGAGCCATGAGTTTTGGTTAGTTGTGTTTTTTCAAGACAGAATTGAAGACCTATTATGGAAAGTTGAAAAAAGTGGATTTTTTTTTTTTTTGAGCGCTGAAAAAAGTGGAATTAAATTGTTACAATATCTGAAAAGGCGTTAAAGACAGAAAAGAAGACTTAATTGCAAAAGGTTCCTCCACAAGCCAAGTCAAATTAGATTAACAATTAAGAGAACCAAACCAAAAATAGCACAGAGGAATTCTCTGTAACTTAATTTTTGTGAGTTCTTTGGGTAATCCTCCTTCATAAAAGTTTTGTAATCTTCTTCAATTGAGATAATTCTTGAAGGAGTTGAGTAAGTTTTCAAGATTCACTTGCATACAATTCCATAAGCTAGGTGTGAAATTTTAATCTTTCATTTACAAGTAAAAAGTTTGTTTTGGTTTAATCTTTCATATGTAAGTAAAAGGATCCTAGTGAATTAAATTCTCAAACAAAGAAACTTAGTTAGTGGATGTACTTCGGGGTGAAGAAACTACTATAAATTATGACTTGATCTCTTCTTCCTTATACTTTTAATTTTCTGTTTTTATATTATTTTTGTGAATTTTATTACTTAAATAAAATAGAAATTTGGGTAAGCTATTGGGTTTTCAAGTGCGGGGCTATAATTATAGTTATAGTTTTTTTGATTTTTTAATATTCTAAAAATATATAAAGTATATTTAATATATTTAATATTTATTTTAATTAATATTTTATATATTTTAAAATAGTAAAAAAAATAAAAGCTAAAAGCTAAAGCACTAAGAAACATTCCCAATATAAAACCTAAATTATACTTCTTTTGTTCATAATAATTGTCACTATTTGATTTTTTTTCTAAATTAAAAATTTTAAGACTATTTATATATTTACTTATATTACTCTTAAAGGAAAAAACTAAATAAATAAAGTAATATTCTTTGTGATAGGATAGTTGGTCAAAATAAATGGTTATAATAGTGTTCAAGTAGAGAAAAAAAATATTTATGTACTTGGGAGTAAAAACATGCACAAGGGTGTATTGATTAGTGAGGTAAAAACCCCACCATGACAACTCCTTCCGTAAATGGAATTGGAAACAAATCTTACTCTATTAATTGGAGAGAACTGAATTTCATAAAAACCTTAGTAATTTCCAGATCAAATCCTAGCCAAATCAAATCATCTTCTGGGAAATCAGGGTTATCAATGCAAAAATTACTTAGCTGAAAACACGCCACCACCGGCGTTTCTAGTCAGTCAAGCTCAACCTCAATCTCAGCCATAGCCATTCCCAAGAGCTCCCTCCACCGCCAACCAACTGAATATCACCATGTCCCTATGAGGTCCGAAATCTAGTCACTATCCTCCCTTACCACACCACGACCCTACAGAAGCGAACTACTCTCCTCCCGTTGCCCGTTGCTCGTTGCTCGTTTGCAACTGCCACCGTCAAAGTAACCAAAAACATCTAGCCACCATCATGCACAGGGTAAGGATCTTTCGCCAGTTTCATCTCATCCCTATTCCTAAACTTCACCGAAGCACCCGTCTAAGGCTACCCTTCGTCCAGATGCCAAACCCCACCCCTATCATTCGAACAAGGTGGAACCATTCTCCACCAATCATATTTAGGGCATGTTTAGTGAAATTTGTCTGAGTTTTAACTTTTTGATAGTATTGATATTTAATAACTTTAAATTTTTTTCTTAAAAACTTATATTTTTTTAATCTTTTTTTAATGTTAAAAAGATTTTAAGCAGTAAATTTTAATAAATTTTAAAAAATTTCAAATTTATGTTTTTTATAAATTTCCTTTTGACTTACTTCTTACTCACTTTTTTTTTTATTTTTAAAAACAATTTTTAAATTTTCTCTTCAATAAAAATTTAAACTTATCACTCATAAACAATATTAAAAAAGTAAAAGCTTTTACAAATTTCACCAAACATGCTCTAAATATGTTAAATACATTTGCAAACATATCCCTCCCATCCCATTTTCTATTTTTGCCCATCCTTGCATAATCTAAAAAGTGCTTTATTATTTAAGAGATGATTCAATGATTAAAAGTTTGATATTTTAAGTTGGAGTTCTCAATTTTAAACTTTGACTCAGGTTGAGAGGATTTTGAAAAGAAGAAAGGAATTTAGAAAAATGGAAAGGAATTTAGAAAAATGATAGGGTTATTCTCTTTCGCATAACCCATCATTATCAAATCAAATATACTAAAAAAATAAAGGACTTTATTAAGTTGGATTTATGATCCATTATATTTAAACTTTAAATATGTTTTATTAAATATTTTTTTGGAGATTTAAGTGATTTAAATTTTAAATTATTTACTAATGACCTAAGTAACTTAATAGTCATCGTTTTTCATTGAAAATAAAAGATTATGAATTCAAGTCGGATGGCATGTGAGAGAGGTGTGATAAGGGATGAGAAATGGTTGCCTCTCATTGTATAACCAAGATAAAAAAAAATTAATTATTTAAAATTTTTTAAATTTATCTTCTAATCTTCATACTTTCTTTTTTTTTTTTTTTTTTTTTTTCTCTCATAGACTAACCCTTAGAGTACTTTTTCTTATAACCACATCCACAATACCAAACGCCATACCAGACTGACCCAAGCAAGTATAAGCCCTTTCAAAAAAGAAAAAGTCCTACAAATTCTTTTACTAATTTAAAGCACCATTGTGTTCAAAAGAAAAAAAATTAAAGCCCCACTAAAGATTGACCAAAAAAGAAGAAATATTTATAAGGTATGCTATTGAATCCCTTTCTTTCTATGAAATTTATTTGGCATCTCAATCCAACTAATTTATAAACATAATTATGAAGGAATTAGTTGCTCCAAAAACACCAACAAATCATATCAACAATTCAATATCAAACTATTCAATATTAAACTGTGAATGCACATCAATTAATAAGAAAATCCATAAAAAAAAAAAAAGGAAAAAAAAAAGAAGAAGAAGATTCAACCATAACTATTATAAGCTGAACTATTAAAAAGTTAAAAAGCCATATTAGAATTATTAAAAAAGAAGGGATGGAGTACTATAAAACTCAATTGCATGGCAAGACATGAAATCTTAGGATTAGATTAGCAACGTATCGTTGTTCTTGTTCTCTATTTTTTATTTATATTATTTGGTATATCTTTTGATAAATTATACAATAAAATATAATTATTTTTTTTAGATCCTTCTTCATTGAACTTAAATTTCAAACTCTTTAACTAGTTGAGCCAACTGTTAAAGATTTTTTTTTTTTTTGTTTTTTTGTTTTTTTTGCCAAAGTTGGAATGATAAAACAATGACAAATAAAAGCTAAAATGGAAAACTAAAATCAACAACTAAACTCCATCTAGTATGCATGATTATGATTTTTTATTTTTATAAATTTTGTAACTACGAAAAAAATTTAAGATGAGTTTTAATATTATTAACAACAAAAAAATATAAACTTGTTTAATAGTATTAAAATTATTTTTGCTTTTATTTCTCTAATAATCATGATAATATATTGTAAAAATACATAAAAATAAACTAGTTCATTTTGTTTAAAATTCCAAAATTTATAAAAATTAGAAAACACAACCATATTAAACTTACTAAAAGATTTCATAACTAACAACTAAAATTTAAATTTTTTTTAGTTATTTGAAATTTTATTTTTAATTTCTTGTTATTTAAATCTTGACAACAAAAGCACAATTATAACAAGGGAAAAATGCATATCAATCCCAATTTTTAAAAAAATTAGAGTTCTGATATTAAATTATATCATTTTATTTAATTAAAATTCAATTTAAAATTTAAAATTTATCTTATTAAATGTTGATATTTAGATTTAGAAACTGATTAAAATTTTAAATTTTGAATTAAAATTTCAATTTCCTAATATAAGTTAGAATTCTGATTTTTTTAAAATTGGAATTGATAGGCATTAATTTCTTATAATAATAAAAAATATTTTTTTATTAAACTCCTTAATATCCAAAGGTCTTATTAATTTTTAATTAATTTAAAGTCGAATCACATCAAATATCATATAAAAAAATTCATTAATATAGGTTCATTAGTGTCATAACAAATATATTATTAACAAGTCTTAAACAACACAAAAAGATCTTATTCCCTAAAACCAAATGGAACCCTTAAAAAAATTAATTTTTTTAATGCACTATAACAATATAAAGAAAGAATTAATTTTAAAAAATATAAAAGGCATTTAAGTAATATAATTTAAATAGTATATTAAAAGTGTAGTATGTATTATAAATTAAAATATTTTTAATAAAATAATATAAAAATAATTTTATTACAAATGTTTTATCAAAGTTATAAAATAAATTATATTTTTAATATATAACTTATTTTATAAAATATTTTATTATAGGTAAAATACGTTATTATTGCGGGAGTCACGTGTAACAGCACTCTATAATCTAAAAAAACCTCCACAGTCAGTCCACACGGTCTCGCCCGTCTCCTCCACATCCAGCCAAAATTCCACCCTGCACAGCGAAGCCAGCGTTAACAACTTCACTGGGTAACAAATACTTAAAAATTATAATAATTTCTCCTCTCCTCCGATTCCTTCATCTTGCATTTTCTCCTCTGAAATCCCTAATCACAGAATCATCCTCCACTGTTAGAGCGTATAGCCAACGCGACGAGGTTGTTTCAAACCAGACCGCTGAAGCGACTTCGTTCAGGTATCATCCTCTCAACCCCTCTCCGTGCTTTTCACCGATAACAAGATAATGTCCGAAAATCAAAGGAGCTGATGATATTGGAACTCTTCTCATCAATTCTATCGAATTTTTAAATTAGAGCTAGGTTTTGCTCACTGTATGTTCAAGTCAATGCTATCTGCGGCTGCATTGTATTTTTTTTTTCTTTTTTTTTTTTGGTATGTTGGATATTACTGTTGGAATTTGTTGATGTTGTTTCTGTATTTTGTTAATTCTTGGTTTTCTTTGATTTGTGATT